TCTTATTGTTAAAGAGCATGAGTGACAGCAAACTTTATGCTCAGAGATTAAAGATGACTCACACGGTTTTCTAGTTAAACATCAGTCAGGGATGTAGGTATAACGGAATGACACCAACCTGCACCCGAGAGCATAGCTTATATAGTAACTAGGAAAAGAACTATGAACTATGTTTACATTGACATATAAAAAGAACTTTCCTTCCAACTAATTATGCACTCAGTCTGGTAAAATGTATTTCTTTCCGATGTTTCTACGTGCAGTGCATTCCAAAGATAAAATGTCGGGGAATTTCTCTTCACAAACGAAGCTTATTAACGAATAGTTTCAACATGTTCGGAATAAAGGAACCATTTTCTTGTCAAAAGGGACTGAATGCTGGTTCGTGAATATTAATTTCTTCTTGATTTAACTTGGCATCCATGGTGGGCCCCAGGATAAAGCAGGACCCCTCCCGCCCTCATCCTTCTCTATGCCCAACGCATATTAGCGCGTATTAGTTAAATCTGAAGTTTCGCTATGAACTTATCGCATCATGTGATGGGTAAACATTTACGAAGCCAATTTTCTCTGTCGGGAAGGTAACCGGAATGAGTATTTCTGTAGGTCTAAATTCTTACTTTTTGCGATTGGCTCTTATTTCCATGTAATGTAAAATGATAAATGATATTTCACACACAAGTGTTCAAGCACCGTCAGTAACCTCCTGCAGATGATTGTGCGTGTTTTCCCGCCACGGTAATCACGTGTTATCGGCGTTTCTTTACGCCTGCAGCTGGCAGGGAGTAGTTGATTATTACATTGCTTATGATCATTTCAAAATATGTTGCAGTGCAGAAGATATAAATTTGGTATCACATGTCATGTTGCTTTATGAGGTTTTATTGGTCATGTTTTGTAGAGGTAATTTTTTGTTTGGGTTTCGCGATTTCAAACACAGATATTTACCGGGCGGTCTGTGCGATAGATTCCCTGCTTGCTGGTACAAATAGAAGATACATGTGAAGATCCGGGGTAGAATAGGTCTTCAGCAACCCATGCTTGCCGTAAAATGCGACTATGCTTGTCTAACGGGATCGGGTGGTCAGGCTCGCTGACTTAGTTGATGCACGTCATGGTATCCCAATTGCGTGGATCGATGCTCATGATGTCAATCACTGGATTGTCTGGTCCAGACTCGATTATATACAGACCACCGTCATTATAGCCGTAATATTGCTGAGTGCGGCGTTTAACAAGAAACAAACAAAACACATGGAAGATATTTCAACGGAAATTAAAAATATGTACAATATTCGTTATTGAAACGAAGATATTATGGGTTGTCCCAGTGGGCTCACTAACTTTTCTTGATATAAATGTTTGCCACTCACATGCTTCTCCTGCTTAGACTTCAAGATGCGGAAGCTGATTATGAATTTTACAATTTAAATTTGATGTAATAGTTATGTCATTATCATGAAATCTCAATCCGCCGTGAGCCAGTGTCTCCCCATCGTTGATTACCCTTAAAATCAATATCAGCATTTCAAAATAAAGAAGATATTTTGTGAAATCTAAAAAAAATTCTGTACATTATCCAAGGGCGTGCGGATGTTGAAGTTGGACTTCGCGCTGTAATATTACATTTTGCTACCAATTTCTACCAAGGCCTCACACAAGTGACACAATCGACATGAAATCTGAATTTTCTTGCTATGATCAAAGCCAAACAAAACCGCTGTTTTATTAAACATATGTATTGAACCTTCCGCATGTGGCATAGCGTCAAACATGCAATATCCTTCAGCAAACATTGCGCCATTGACAGTGTTATTTTTTCAACACGTTTCAACATTTGTCAATATCGGCAGTGTCATTTGAACTTTGCTGTCGATCATCTCGCCATCCCGCCTTTGTTGACAAAGTGTATTCAAGGAGCGCATTGTGTGTTGGGGTAAAAACATTATCTACACCGTGCTTAAATGGACTAAAATATATTTTCGAAAATCTGTGAAAATAAAAAGTGCAAAAATTCTGTAGCTTGGCTCAATGATGTTTTTGAAACTCTTAGTTCGTTGTGGTGATTGCCTTCACCCCTGTACGGAGCTCTGTCTTCAGTGTCTCAAGGAGTCGAAAGAAGTGTTTGTTTGTTTGTTGTTTGACGCCGCACCCAGCAGTATTCCAGCAATATGACGGCGGTCTGTAAACAATGGCGTCTGGGCCAGGCACACCATTAACTATTTGTGTGAGCAATTAACGTCCCATGTTGTCGGGATCCAATCAACCAAGCCATGGAGTCTGACCACCTGATCCATTTAGTCGCCTCCAACGACAAGTATACATGTAGGTGTATTGGGGACTAATTTTAAACCACGGGGGTTCCTATCAGTATTGTCCGCTATGACACAGTGGAAGTACAGTGGAACCCTGTTAATCTGGACGGTACCCGAAGTACAGTAAACCCCCGTTAATCTGGACGCTACCTGAAGTACAGGGGAACCCTGTTAACAAGGACGGTACTTGAAGTACAGTGGAACCCTGTTAATCTGGACGGTACCCGAAGTACAGTGAACCCCCGTTAATCTGGACGGTCCCTGAAGTACAGGGGAACCCTGTTAACCAAGACGGTACCTGAAGTACAGTGGAACCCTGTTAATCTGGACGGTACCTGAAGTAAGGTGAACTCCCGTTAATCTGGACGGTACCTGAAGTACAGGGGAACCCTGTTAACCAGGACGGTATCTGAAGTACAGTGAACCCCCGTTAATCTGGACGGTACCCGAAGTACAGTGGAACCCTGTTAACCAGGACGGTACCTACACACATTGTACCCATGTCGGGAATCGAACCCGGGTCTTCGGCGTGACGAGCGAACGCTTTAACCACTTGACGGTACCTGAAGTACAGTTAACCCCCGTTAATCTGGACGGTACCTGAAGTACAGTGAACTCCCGTTTATCTGGACGGTATCCTAAGTACAGTGAAATTCCGTTACTCCGGACAGTTCCGTTCCCTGTGAAATCATCAAATGTAACGAATCATTGTTATAGAGGTATTTTTGACTATCTGATCCATTTGGCCGCCTCTTACAACCAGCAGGTTGCCGAATACCAATTTTAACCTGGATCTTCACGGTGTATATTGCTTTACATGTGTAGAGGTTCATATGAACAATCGTCCAGAAAAAAAGGGTTTCCGGATTAAGAGGATTTCACGGCGGCTTAACCTCGGATGACAATGCATACATATTCAAAGTCATTCCTCGACTTCCACTCAATCACAGATGAAGTCAGTTCGGGGCAACAGATTATTGCTTTAAAACATGAAACTGTAAACGACATAATAGTGTCCAAACAGTGAAGACATAATGGATTATCGACAATGACGGATGTGCTTTAGGAGGCAGACTGGCTGGTTTGGCCTTGTTCCTCGCCCCGAGCTTGACCCAGCCGTGACCGACAATAAATGACACGCTCTCTGTCCCTGGCGGTTTGCGGTCTTAGCAAGAAGGTGATCAGACGTAAATACTTTCCAACCTGTGACCCAGAAACCTGTATATATGATATGGTTCAGTGCACATTGAAAACAGGAAAGAGATATTTTCTTATATTTATTAATAATATGCGTGTTGTATATGCATTATCACATTCATCGCGATTTTTCAGTGTTCAGGAGTATTGCGAACGTTGTTTTACACAAGACAGAAAAATTACAAACCAGTGGTTGATAGCAAGAGCAACGATCTACGCTGTCTGGGTTCAATGCCCCGTTGTACCCATCCGTTCATGCTCCTTGTTATATTTTGTCCCGTGGGGTGAGGTGAAATTGGGTTAAACGTCGCGTCCAAGATTATTCCACTTATATAGCGACGTGCATGCACGTGCGCGCGCGCGCGCGCGCGTGTGTGTGTGTGTGGCTGCTTGTACTAACCCGGACTGATGTCGATTTATAGTGCACTGATATACCATGCCGTATGACCATGAATGACCCACTCAGACACAGTATACTGGCTCCAAGCCGACCAGTCCTTGTTTTAGCAACTTAATGCCGAGCGCCAGGCAGGGTAACAACAAGCTCCATCTTTTAACCTCTTTTGGAATGACGGCCGGGGATCGAACCCCGGACCTTCCGCTCTCCGGGCAGACGCTCTACCACTAGACCACGGAGGCGATCTTACGCCGTGGGATTTCCAGGAGATTCCAGATCCCCAGCAACCTATGCTGGTTGTAAGAGGCGACCAAATGAATCGGGTGGTCAAGCTCAGTGGCCTGGTCGATTGCCGATGACTGTGTTTTGGGGTCCAAGCTCTGCTATTTACAGACTCTCGCCATGTAGCTGGAATATTGCTGAGTGCGGCGTTAAACAACAAACCCTAAATATTCTTGTTATTCTGTCAGACCAAGTTATACAAACCTTTTCCGAATACGGAGATCACTATTCTAAAAAAAAACAACCTTAATAACATCTGTTCTCAAAACGAGAAACATTGTAAATGTGCTTTGAAAAAAAACACACCACTGGACAAGATCCACGTACATTACGACCCATGATGTATAACGATTTATATCCGTCGAGAACCATCGAGAAACGAGAGTTATATTTGCCGTATGATGAAATAGTGACAGATAGTCAATAAGACCTGCATGTTTCTGCTTCTTTCAAATCGTTAATACAAACCCTCAATCAGTTTCATTTAAGCTATATTATTAGTGATTCAAGAGACCGGTCGTGTTTGCTTGTACAGTGCAAACACGAGATGCAGAGGGTTGTCTGTGCCAATCAGCGGCCACATCAAGGTGTTTTCTTGTCCCAACAAAACGCTCAGGTAAAACTGAATTCAGAATGCTGGCTTAATATGCGGTCGATGTCGTATCAACAATGCCGCGTAGCCTGTAGCTGCCGTCGTAGCAGAATCAAGGCTTCACTCCGAGTCTATATGCTCTATCGGCAAACATTGCCCGTCACAATATAGTGGTTACGATGAGGAACGCTGAGCTCTTGTTGCGAGGTACGTTTACAGCATCGGCTTGGGACGTGAGCTTAGAAGATAATTAGTTTATATGCAGTTCTTGAGCAGTTAGGCCAAGGTGTGTCACCCGAGGGAGCTCTCAGAGAAACGTGCGCTGCAAGGCAACTCTACTCGATAATAGTGCAGTCTTAACGACTCAAATCATGGCGTTGATATCCAACAAAATTGTATCCGATTCTGGAAATCATGGATAACGAGGACATTGATTGAGGCTGAAGCAAAAAAATGTCAAATCGATGTATTTAGGACAATGCGTACTATCAATGTTTGAAGGCGGTATTTTCATTAAAATCATCCTACATTTTGAAAATCCATTGGTGGCAAAACGATGTGGGTTAATGTATCGGGAAATGTGAAGTGACATTTGTCTTTGATATATCCAGAGCAACGCACTCTCTACGACGTAACTGCACGGTAACAACGCGTGACGGTGGAGGTGGTCGACTACGGAACAACCATAGTGAAGGTAAAATAAGTTGTTTTTATTCCTTCAGCGTCATTGACATAACAGCCCTCGTGTCTGCTTACGTCGACTCTCCTCGGGGTAGCAGCCTTGGTATATCTGGTGCATTCGCTCATAAAACTAAAGTAATAACATTTCCCCATGTCGCACGTGCTTCAAAATTGCTGACACTATGCGGTTGTTAAATATACAGAACCGTTTAGGTCGACTTTTGGTGTAATTTACAATTAGAAGTATGGAATTGTTAACATCTGAGAAATATTACGATAGAACATGTTGTATACATTTATTTATTGTGTAAATAAATATATATTAAGAACATCACGACTGGTCTAAGGGCGACGTGCTATCAGGACGTGTGTTCAGTTTTGAACAAACCTCGAAACTAACCAATCGATAAATTCTTTTCCCTACCGATTTTGAGCCAACGAAAAAGTTTATCAACATGAGCCATTCCTGTTATTATGTTTATGTATTGTGACTTTTTCTTATCCTGGACTGTGTAATCGATATGTCAGAATCGTTTCTAACTTTACCCCACAGGTTAATTGTTCTGAAGATAAAAACACGAAAAAAGATGTACTTTCTCAAGGTTCTTTAAACACGTTTTAAAAGGACTTAAATCAAGGTATACAAAGGGGAGTCGATTTCATGTGGTCTCTTTGTAGCGATACTGTCCAAACATGGTAGTGAATTTAATTAACTAGCGTGAGGGGTTCACATAGTTCGAGAGAACTCCCGTTGTTGTCTAGGCCTAAATACAACTCTGTTTAATGACAACAGACACCTCTCACATGACCTTCAAAGACTGTTGACTTTGACCCTGGCGTTAGGTTATCGATGAATACAATGTAAGGAACAGTCGATATTTGGAATAATTCGCCCAAAAAGTCATTTTGTTGAATTTTGTAATATTGCGCACCAGTTCGACGACTAATGGCTATTGTTACAACAGAAATTGATTTTTATGTTGTTATTTTTTGCATCTGATAATATAATGATGGACATCAATTTCCCTCGGAATAATAAGGTCGTATTTTATGTAGAACCTTTAGTAAACCTTTAGTAAAAGCTGTAGAACGTAAAATGTAATTTACCTATTTAAGGTTGAATAAGTATCCGAATTTTACACAGTTGATTCGAGGTGTTATACATTTCAAGGGGTCTTCTAATCAGGTCGGGGCGGTGGGGTAGCCTAGTGGTTAAAGCGTTCGCTCGACACGCCGAAGACCCGGGTTCGATTACCCAAATGGGTACAGCGCGTGAAGCCCATTTCTGGTGTCCCCCGCAGTGATATTGCTGTATTATTGCTAAAAGCGGCGTTAAACCATACTCACTCTAAACAGGTCGTTTTAATAACTTTGTAACTTTAGCAAGAACAGTGCTTTCTACATCCGCGAATATGAATGTGATTTTTTGTGGGTTGTTCTAGATACCGTTATTTAACGCTGATTACAAAACTTAAATAATACAAAATGAAGGTGAAGTTAAACTGAAATAGTGAGAGGACGCTCTGACCTGTAGTTTACGAACACTATCGTGCAAAGGGGTGAGTGAATATGGTTTTACGCCGCTTTTAGCAATATTCGATCAATATCACGGCGGAGGAACCTGAAATGGGCTTCACACATTGTACCCAGGTCGGGAATCGAACCCGGGTTTTCGGGGTGACGAGCGAACATTTTAACCACTTGGCTACCCGACCGCCCCTCTCGTGCAAAGACAGGTCCATGTACATGTAGCACGGCCCATACAAAACATACGTCCATGGTCCATCTATAAACAGTGATGATTATGTACACTCTCTTATACTTATTACCCCTTGTTACATCTAGTGGTCTATGGTCTGTGGTTCTATCCCAGCCGCGTCATACCAAAAGATGTTAACAGATGGTACTTGTTGTTACCGTGCCTGGCGTTCGGCATTAATGGGCTTAAACAAGGATTGGTCGGCTCGTAGTCTGTATACTGTATCTGAGTGTGTATTCTTGTTAAACTGCAGCAGTGGGCTAGCACTATAAAATCGACATTAGTCCGGACTAGTACAAGCAACCACACATGCACATGTCGCAATACAAGTGCAACAAGAGTTTGCAATTTACGTGGCTATATACCCCGCCCCTGTTGCAGAAATTATGACATAATTAAATCTAAACAAACCGTAACCTTTTTTAACCGAGGTGGAACTTGTCATGGAACTTGTAAAAAAAAGAGAAGAGTTTGGAACCTAAGTCCATCTTGTTGCCATGGAAACATAAAAAATAAAAATTTCTAAAATTTCTAAATAGCAAAAGGCACCAGTCCAGCATGTATTTGACAGACCTGCAAAGTTTCATGAAAAATATTGAACGGTTTCTGAGTTATGCTCCGGAAACGAAACGGACGGACAGACGGACAGACGGAGCCTGTTTCTGTATTCCCCGCCAACTTTGTTGGGCGGGGGATAATAATCTTTGACGTGACGTTAACCCCTATTTCACCACACGTCACCTTTACTGTACGGACGATCGGTAAAGCGTTCGTTCAATACCCCAAAGGTCCATGTTCGATTTCCCACATGGGTACAATGTGTGAAGCCTATTTCTGTGTCCCCTGCTGTGATATTGCTTAAATATTGATAATCGGGGCGTAAAACCATACTCGCTCACTTTGTAAAAGTAGGGGCGCATCCAAGTCGTTCGTTGTGAATTTGGTTCGAAATGTTACAATCATATTATCCTGAAACTTACGTCATTATATCCGCAGTTTAATGAATGATTTTTTTGTTTGTTTGTTAAACACCATACCAGTAATATCCTAGGTATATGACGGCGGCCAGTTAATAATCCAGTCTGGACCAGCCACGCAATCAACCAAGTCACTGAGCCTGACCACCAGATCACGTGGTTGTCTGTTAACCAGCATACGTTGCTGGGGGTCTATTGTAAACCGGAAGTCTCCCACGTGGTTGTACCTCACTGGAGATATATCTATTTTATATGTCATGGAGTATATCACTGATATTACACCGTCATGATGAAATTTAACAATAATTTTGTGCATCGGCTTCGATAACGTCTTCAAGAAGATCCAACATTATCAAAATGTTGTCAGTAATTTTCAGTGTCCTCTTTCCCGTGATGACCAATTTGGATCGTCTCACGCTCCTTAATCCAACATCTGTCTGAGAGATCCCGTTATTTTCTGAATGCCACTAAGTATCACTACACAGAGAAAGCAAAATAGAACTCATCTGTAATCGCCTTGCCTATATCTATACGTACAGATTTTCCATTTCGCATAAGTATCAACAAATCCATATCTCATACTGCCTTTGATGTACCGAGGCTGGTGATTTAGAAACATGATCAGTTACAGTAATACATCTTGGATTACCATAGAGAATATTGAGTGATTGGGTCCGGGAGCTTTTGCGGGGTTTTGGAACAGTGCTAAGTTTAGATAAGTACATATATAAACATCTTGCTCTGATTGCACGATCATGCCGAGAAAGATTCCCGTCTAGTATCCGTTATGCCTCAAAACCATCTGTGGATAAACAGATTATGTTTGAAAAGTGAGTGAGTGAGTGTGGTTTACGCCGCTTTTAGCAATATTCCAGAAATATCACGGCGAGGGACACCAGAAATAGGCTTCACACATTGTACCCATATCGAGAATCGAACCCGGGTCTTCGGCGAGACGTGCGAACGCTTTAACCACTGGGCTACCCGACCGCCCCTTATGTTGGAATATATTTGATAAATCTAACAGTGTCTGAAACAAGCGGTGGGCAAACCAAAAATCCATGACAAAGTGTCATAAGAAAATAAGGCTTAAATATTAAATGTTTCCGGAAGTTTACATGCATTCGGGAGACACCAAAGATACAATTTGTTTGGTTGGTTTAAGCCACATTCGGCCATATTCCAGCAATATGATGGTGGTCTGTAAATAATAGTCGCCCCTTACGACAAGCAAAGGTGGCTGAAGACCTATTTTCTAGACCTATGTACTCGGAAACCGTATGCCAGGAAGAAGAAACACGCTTTCACAAATATCTATTTTAGAAACAGACGGCTTCAGTTCTATGCAATTGACAAAAAGTTGAACTTTAATTCTTTGTATGCAGACTGTTATTATTAATGATTTAAAATCAGGTACTGTAATAGTTAGGCATACTAATCGAAGACAAATGTTTTAGATCATTACTTTTGATATGTTCAATGTGCTAAAAGGTATTGACAGATGCTAGCCTTAGCATTGCAGAAAGGGAATTCCACTGTGACGTATATATAGGTCACGTGTTTCTTCCAAGCCTTCTAGCCTATGAGTATTGCTCGACGGTTTCCATTAAGCTACAAGAAATACGTCCCTTAGGTCGACTAGTTTGCGTATAGGTTCATATCTGCGTTGTCATTAACTGACCTCAAATATATCATCAAATATATCAACGGCAGCCACTTCGGTTTCGGCCCGTCCGCGGGGATTCCAGACTCCGAGTATCCCGTGTTTATCGAAACAGCCGACTACAATGAGGATCTGGCTTACAACGTATGACCTGGCTTATTGTGAGTTGTTCCCGGGAATCGTAGATCGTAGCTCATTCTATCAACCACTGGTTTGACAGATCCAAACGCGATTATTTACAGGCCGCTGTGATATATACAACTCCATTTTCTGACTTCCATTGTAATCCATGAACCTCCAAACCTCGTCGCATCAAGTTCGTTTAACACGAGGTGAGGTGAAATGTGATTTAACGGCGCGTCCAAGAGTATTGCACTTACATGTATATAGCGTCGTGCATGCGCGTGTTTATGTGGCTGCTTGTACTAATCTGGACTGATGCCGATTTATAGTGCCAGCCCACTGAGATACCATGCCGCAGTTTAACATGATTACCCGACTCAGACACAGTATACTGACCCCGAGCCGACCAGTCCTTATTTTAGCCCCTTTATGCCAAGCGACAGGCAGGGTAACAACAAGTACCATCTTTTAACGTTTTTTAGTAGTACGCG